CAGGGGACTCACAATACCCAAAAGCTCTCCGGCCACCTGGCAACCATGGCATGGCTGGCAGCCTGATCCATTTCCTTTTCCTTGTGTTGATGGGCACAAGGAAAGGGGGATGATGGCAGTAGGCCATGTGGACAGCAGACTGGTCCACATCGGATCTGGCCATGGTTTGCATACTGTTCCCAAAGTACAAGGCTGTTCTGAAGTTTTGGCCAAACTCCAGAGCACGCCCTGACTTTCCTTAGTATATTTCTACACTGGTTTAATCAAGTTTTCCCCATTTTGAGAACCGGAAGTCACTCGACATTGTGAGTAGGCCCAGGCATAACCCTCTGCCACTTGAAGGTTTTGGGCTTATTGTGTAAATGAGCCCTAACTTGGGGAAGTGAGAAGAAGCAATAGTGGACTGCCACCTCGTGTTTCTGGCACACACGGCTTCTTTCCCTTCCCTTCTGCCACTTTAGAACTGATGACATCTTGTAGTTGATTAAATACAGTGACAATGACAAAATTTTCTAAGCAACCCAGAACATAAGTTAACAAGACAGCAATGTGAATATGGAATGCTGAGAGGTTCCCCAGTTATTAGGAACTATCACAGTAGACTATGTAGAATTTCAATTTTAAAGCATTTTTTCTTTCTGTATTCTCTCCCCTTCCCCTTTTTGAGTATGAAATATATGGCAGTTACTCCTTAGAGGTAGAAATAAAGCTAGTTTAAATTCATAAAGACAAGAAATAATCTGTCAAAGATGGTGGTGTTACTCTTATTATGAGTAAAAAGGCTCAAAGCAAGCAGTTCTCTGTAGTACAATTCTGTATGCCAGCATGTTCCCAAAGGTGCATTGTGCACTTTTGCCCGCATAAACTTGTTAGACTGTGTGACCACAAATGTAGTTTTAACGTTACGGGTCATGCCACACATTGTGATTTCTCCAGAAGAGGGCAAAGACAGCATTTCCCCTGGCATAAGAAAACACCGCTGTGGCTGACAGCATGTCATGGCCTGTCTGCCTTGTCTAGCTGTCGATTAAGCTGATCCGCACACTGCTGGGTAAATAAATATTCCCTAGATTCATTTGGAGATGCAGGAGTAATATATCTTCTCCACTTTTCCTTACAAATTAGATACATGGTGACATCAGTCTTCTTCCTTTTTCCTTCTTCGTCTTGTTTTGTGTAGGTTGTAAGAAAAGGGAATGATCCAGTGGTAATTTACATTGAGAGCAATTGTAAATCAAAGATCCACTGGCTGTTTGGCTAGGCTGGGCAAAGCATAGCCTTGGGACTACATCCAACACACCAAGAAAGCTTTTCTGACTCATATACCCTGCAACTTCCCTGCTCACCCTTTTTCTGGCCAAAACAAGGGGGTTGAATTGCCTCTTTTTGACTAGGGATGGCAATTCCCTTGAAATAGGCCCAATGCCCCTCTTCCACTAACATAAAAACTTGAACAATCTTTCAGAACTGGAAATGGACATTCAGCTGCAGATAATTTCCCCCTGGGCCCACCACAATTGCTCACCTCTGTAATATGTATGTTTGTATGTGTGGTGATTAGACATAGAGCTCTCTTGCCAGAAGAGATCACTCTCTACTAGCCAAAATTCTCTTCTGTTGTCTTAAACTTCTCTTAAAATTTGATCTGAGAGATCTGCTGGCAGATTGATCTGGCAGAACCGATCTGCTGGCCTAGAGCTGATGGCAGAAGAGTCAAATAATAATGGTAATTTGTGAGCAGAAAACAGAGAGGGCAACGGAGGAGCTGAGTTGTGCCAAATCTGAATCTCCTTGCGCCAAGACACAGAATTATCATGTCAGCAGAAAATTGGGCTTGGGGAGGGGTGGTTGAATTAATTTCTGCCATTCTTCAGTTGGAAGGGATACACAGCTTGAGTTGACCTAGTTTTGATTTAGCAGGCTCTTGAATATTTTGTCTTATTAGTATTGTAATCTTAGCATTTTGGACCTTCTTGTCCATAGAGTAACTGAGAGAGAGAGAGAGAGAAAGAGAGAGAGAGATTAAAGAGCACTTTGACTTCAAATAAGTCCTGTACGGCAAAATTTTGTTGATTGTTGGGATGTATCAAAATAAATAAATAAATTTTAAAAAAGACTTCAAAAGTGCAGAGTGCGTATTTTTGGATAAAGTATGTATAGGCTTGTTTATAGCTGCATATAAAATTCTGAAAATAATTGCTAAACTTTAAGCAGAAATGCAAAACTTATTGTACTGATAGTGGGGAAGATTGTGATCAATTGGCCAAGTGTGTGCCTCTTCCATATTCTAGGCAGGTACAGGTGTCATGAAAACTTTTAAAGGGCAATTTCAAGGTACCTGCTCTCCCTTTTTGGGTTCTGTATTTTTGAAAGAGATTTGGACCAGAAGCCCTTCAAAAAGAAGGTGACTTCTATGAGAGAACTGTCAGAGGAGAGTTTTTCAATAGACAACAAACAAACAAACAAACAAAAAACAACAATTGCCATATTTAAGTTAGCACACATGGGTAAGAAGCCTTTTGGTGGCATACTTGCTTTAATATTCGGGATGTGTGAATATATCTTATTTGGATATTGCAGATGGAGACATTCAATAGCTCCTTGCAAAATGTTCCCCTCATTGTCATTGATTCCAAGCACCTGGAACACCATATCATGATTCTTTAGTGTAACAGAGATCATGGAGGGCGATGTCAGTTCTTTTCTCCCAGCTACAGAATCACAACTGGGTGCTGCTTGAATGCATTTTGCCCTCTTCTTTCCCCTTCTCACCAGGTGTTGAAAGCTGTTGTGTTTGTGCATTATGTGTTGAATTGTGCAGGCAGAGCATTACCTTCCTCTCACATGATATACTATACTAGATGCCCCAATGAGACCTTTTGTGGCAACTCTACTCCTTCCCCTAATCTTTGAATCATGTTTGGCTGGAGTTCAGGAGAGGGCTTTCTCTATGATTGCACCAAGACACAGAAGTGCCAACCACGGGAGGCAGGATCTTCTGATACAATTATCTGGTGTGGACAGGTTTGTGTATTCTTTCATTACCACACTTAAAACTGTCACCTTTCAGGGACTCACATCATTGAAAAAAGAATTGGGCACCTGCTAAGGAGGGTTCAGAGCTGATTTTAGCCGTCTGAGACTCCAGCACCTCTCAAATTGAAAAAAAAAAAGCAAACAGAAACCTTGGGGAATGTGATTGGGCTTTTCTTTTTTCTGGGTTTGTTTCAGGTTCCAAATAGAATTCACTCCAAGCAATCATTTTCTTTAAAAATCTTGCTCCTCTCCCATATCTTTAATTGGGAATGTGCATCCCCCAAAGTCTTCTAGGGTGTTATGCTATGTATTTGGTCTTTTTATTTCTACACAAGGAGCAGGATGTCTGGGTAGGGTACTACTCTGAGGCTCTGGTGAGCCACATCCAGGCCATAGATCATGCTTTGCTTAAGAAACAAATAACCCAATATAGCCTGTATTAGAACATCAAAACATGACAAAACAGAACACTATGTATATTAGTTAAAAGCCAAGCTGTTAATGTTAGACTTTATTATGTGTGGGCTGAAACACATGCTGTGTTTTCTTTTGATGTTGATTTATTTTGTACTTTCTCATTGCTTTACTATGTTGCTTAGTTTGTAAATCACCTTGAGCAAATATTTTATTATAGTTATTATTTTATATACTTATTTGTGTGGTGATTTGAATGTTAGGCCATGACTTTGGAGACCAGAGTTTGGATTTCTACTTTGCCACTAAAACATAGTGGGTGATATTGGAAAATGGATAGTGGACTATGTCCCTTCTGAACAGATCCTTTGCTGCTGCTGCTGCATGCCTTCAACTCATTTCTAGCTTATAGCAAACCTAGGGCAAAACTATCACAATGTTTTCTGGGGCTGAAAGTGTGTGACTCTCTTAAGGCCACCAGTAGGTTTCCATGGCTGAGTGGGGAACTGAACCCTTATCTCTAGAGTCATAGTCCTACATTAAACAACTACATCGTGCTTGTTATCCTGAACAAACCCTTCCCTTTTAACATACTACACACATAACCATATTTTACCTTAATTTCACCAATAAACTATGCATTTTTTAAAACAAATGTTTGTAGCATCATATGCGTCTCCAAGAATCCTCTACAAAACCTTGAACCAATTATCCTTTCTTGCCCTATGATTTCATCACATGGGTTTTCGCAAGCATCCTAGGATGTTTGCCTAACACTTCATGTATGGGGCACCACACTACCCATTACACGATGCACACTCATGACTGGTGGGGCTCTGTAGATTAACTATGCTGCAAGTGTCCTAGGATTCTCTGCTCAGAACACAGGAAGCTTCTCATGTTCTGTAGGCAGCAACGGGGCCAGAGTGGGGAGAAAGCCATGCGACAAAGCTTCCCCACATGGGGTGGGGAAGCGTTGCTGCAGATGATGCAGGGCATGGGGTGATGGGATTGACTCGCTGCCCCACATACTTGCCACAGAGGCTGGTGAATCCCCCCACTGCCCTATATCAATGTGATGAGGTCCCTAAACATCTTTGGAGGATTATTGCAAAGATAAAGGATTGGATAAAAATGAAATAAATAAATAAATAAATTGATGCAGGAAGTGCTTTGTTGTAAATGACATTATTGCATGTGTACTTTCTGAAATGTGTTCTTTAAGATAAGTATTCTGCTCTGTTTCTGTTTTAAATAGCAAGTTAGTGGCAGGAGAATGCTTTCTTTGTAATGAGAATTTCTTCAGTTCACCTCCTCATGCATCCTGTTTCAGGGATCAAATTGCAAGTGATGGAGATGTTCTTGCTCTTTTCAAGTTCTGTGGACATGTGGGTAGTAAGGCTGAATAAAACTGTGCTGAAGGATCAGCAAGTCTTACCTGATAAAAGGATTTTCCTCTGCATCTGTGAAGAACAGTTTCCAGTGTGTGCTGCCTTTGAGGACAAATTGTCTTTCTCTCCTGGCTAATCCAACTGTCACTTTCATTGCAGCGGGTCATCAATGCTACCAATGCAGGAGTCAATCCTGTAGGAGACTCCTCCAACAGCAGCAGTCACTGGGATCTTGGAAGTGCCTTTTTCTTTGCCGGAACTGTCATCACAACTATAGGTAAATACGGATACAAAATTTGGGTTCAGACTTTGAGGGAAAATAAGTTTTAAAGCAAGAATGGCATGAGAAATTGAGTAAGGGCCCAAGATTGCAGACATTCCTTTTTGAGGGATTACAACTCTCCAAATTTCCCATGTCAGCTGTGGAATCTAAGCTTTATAATTCAAGCTCTAGAGCATGTCTGGGCAAACCTTGGCTCTCCAGGTGTTTTGGATTTCAACTCCCACAATTCCTAACAGCCAGAGGTGATTTTGCCAGTTTCCTCCCCGAAATATAATTTACAGCATCTGGTAGTTATTGGCAGTCTCCCCTCCAGATACTAACCAGGGCTGACCCTACTCCAAGATCTGACAGGATTTGGTGCCTTTTGAGCAGTGGTTCTCAACCTGTGTCCCCCCAGGTGTTTTGGCCTACAACTCCCAGAAATCCAAGCCAGTTTACCAGCTGTTAGGATTTCTGGGAGGTGAAGGCCAAAACATCTGAGGACCCACAGGTTGTAAAGCACTGCTTTAGAGTAATTACATCCTATTTTAATTGGATAATTAAAATTCTGCAAACAGATGTGAGGCAAGGATGAGAACCTCCTCAAATGGCTTTCCTGCCTGCATTCTTTTGTCAAGCCTACATATCTACCCAAGACATCCTGGACTAGTTCTCCAGGGGGAAAGGTTGCTTTTGAGAGTTAGGATGGGGCATCAGATAGTGAGAAATGATAGTGAGAGATTAGCAGACTTCTCTTCCTCTTTACTTTTGTTTATTTCCAAACTGGGCAATATACTTGACTATTCCCATGGAGATTGGATACGTTGTAGTTGAGTCAGAAAAAGACATTGACCATGTTGCAATGCTAGCAATGGTTTCTTTCATTTTAGAAAAGTGCCCAGGGAAAGCAGGATAGATGCGTCTATCTGAGCTCTTGAGGAAAGTTCTTTCTCCCTACAAACCAGGATAGGATAGGGCTAACAGGAGTGGGAAACCAGGTACCTCAGAGGCTTTTTAAAGATCAGGGTTGTTCAACTGTCATGGATTTCAAAGTCTTGCTTCCCTAAGACCTTTCCTAATGTTTTATCTTTTGTATAATGTTGTACATAATGTGTTGTATGTTGCTGCCAAATTGCTGCCGTTTTAAGCCGCCCTTTGGGGGTTGAGAAGGATGGGTTAGAAATGTTGGAAATAAATAAATAAATAAATAGGTGGTCCATGACTGGGGAAGAGAACAAGGAAGGAATGCCCTTCTTCATTTCTCACATAGTCCTTTCCTTCTTGGTCTACAAACTGTCTCTGGCTGTAGACATGTTTTTATTACAAAAGTTGTTGCAGAGACTAAATCAGTGTCAAATGCAATTTATCAGCTCTCAGAAAAATGAGCAAAGTGTATTGCTCTGGAGGATGAAACTCTTTCACCTTGCATTCTCAGCTCAGTAATGTATATGTTGGATTGATATCAACACACGTACTGAGCATGAGACAGAGCAGACAGAAAATAAAGACATCCAAACCCAGCCTAACTCTCCTTATTCAACAATTGTAGAATAACATTTTTCTCTGGGCTATGAGTTGTAATTTAAATGAGGGCAAAATGCAAAAAGAAAGACATTTGATTTAAATTCACATTAAATAATTAGAGATGATAAATTTATAGGAAATAGCATCTGAATCATGTAAAAATGTATGTGAGATTGTAGTCATGTATTGGTTGGTTTTGGTTTTGACCTTTAAAGCTTTACATGGTTTGGGTCCAGGTTACCTACAGGATCGCCTTCTTCTGTACAATCTGCCCCACACACTTAGATCCTCGGGGGAGGAGGGCAGCTACTCCAGACAGCGAAAACCTGACTGACAACTGTCATCTAGAAGACCTTTTCATTAGGACTGTGAAATGACCTGCCAGAAGAGCTCCAACAGCTAAATCAGCTTCAGAATTTAAGATACAACCTAAGACCTATTTCTTCTGGCAGGCCTAATTTTAACTTGTGAATTTTAGCTTGCATTTCATGAGTGGACTTTAACTTTTATTTTAACTCTGTGTATCTTTTTGTATGTGTTTTAATAGTGTTTTATCTCTTATTTTAATGGTGTTGTACCCTGCCTCAAACTCCAGGGAGAGGCAGGTATTATTATTATAATTATTTCTTCCAAAGGGGATCCTTTCAATTAAAGGAGTATAAGAGTCATATGATGTGGTTTGAGTTTGGACAAGGACTCTGAGAGTTCTGAGTTTGAAGCCCCACTTAGCCATGCATGATCTTAAGCAAGTCACATTCTGACAGCCTTAGAAGAAGGCAATGGCAGTTTTCCTTTGAGTAAATCTAACCAAGAAAATTCTATATAGGGTCGCTGTATCTTGGGAGTCAATTTGAAGACACATAATAAGAACCAGTTGCAGACATAGCTCTGCCAATCTCACATTAGGTCTAAGTTTCTGAAAGATTGTGTGCATATGCCTAAGTGCCAATTATTTTCCCTGGGAGCTGAAACCAAGAGACCTGATGTGGCATAGTGACTTGAGTGCTGGACTGGAAGAGCCAGGTTCAAGTCCCCACTGAGATACTGTAGACCTTTGGCCATCCACTTCCCTTACCATCTGACCTTTTGCATAATATAAAGTGTGTTTCAAATATAAAGTGTGGAGAAGGAAACCTTGCACATTTTGCATCAGTTACTGGGAAATCCTGGATGGAGGGTGCAATTTAGCAAACTTGTTGTGCTAGTGAGCATCACTCATTCTAGTGGCTGGCAATTTTGTGTTAAGCGTGTCCAGTCTAGTCTTTGGTTCTCAAGTTCTTCATTTGACTTTTTTGTTGGTTATTTTGCCTTTTCAAGATTTGGAAGCCTCTCAAAAGTGCCATTTATTTATTTATTTATTTATTTATTTATTTATTTAAAACATTTATATTCCACCCTTCTCACCCCGAAGGGGACTCAGGGTGGAGCACATCATATACACAGCACTACAAAATATTTTCTAACAATTTAGCATGGTATTTGTATGGGATTACGAATGAGGTAGAACACACTGATATTATAGTTTAGTACAGTGAACTAAATTTAGCCATCTGCTGACATTCAAAGCTTGGATAATTTATTTCTTTGTTTGAACTATACATCCCAGACTTCAATGTTCTTGCTGATTTGGAATTGCAGTCTGAAAAAGTAACTTTTTCCAGCTGTGATCTGAACTTTCTCTAATAAAACATAAGTTGAAATAGAGTGGATTGTCAGGCAGTCTGCTAATCAGGCACAGTCCAGAATAGAGTGTTTGAGGATTGAAATATTCATAGGGATATCAAGATGCTTGTTTATAAAGCTATTGTCCTCCCAACCTTGTTATACACCTGTGAAACGTGGACCATCTACAGACGTCACACTCAACTTCTGGAATGATCAGCATTGTCTCCAAAAAATCTTGCAAATCTCTTGGGAAGACAAATGTCAGCATTCTGGAAGAAGCAAAGACCACCAGCATTGAAGCAATGATCCTCTGCCATCAACTTTGCTGGACTGGCTAAGTTGTCCAAATGTCCGATCACCATCTCCCAAAGTAGTCACTCTACTCTCAACTCAAGAATGGAAAATGAAATGTTGGTGGACAGGAAAAGAGATTTAAAGAAGGGCTTAAGGTTAACCTTAAAAACTGTGGCATAAACACTGAGAACTGGGAAGCCATGGCCCTTGATCATTCTAACTGGAGGTCAGCTGTTACTAACAGTGCTGTGGAATCCAAAGGGGCACGAATGGAGGGCAAAAGGGAGAAAGAAATGTGTCAAGAGGAAGGTGCATTAAGCCAACCCTTGTTGGGACCACCTTCCGTCTGGAAATTGATACCTGACTGTCACCTATGGACCCACCGCCAAGACCCGATACTTGGGAGGCAATCATACTCAGCCACGAGTGATGGTCTGTGATGATTATGGCAATAATGTAGTACAATGGGTCCTTAATATAGAATGACAAAATCAAGATTTGCTTTTGGGAATATTTTTAAGTTACAGATAGTTAAATCCATGGAGGACTGACTGCATGTGTGTTTGTATAGTTTCCTTTTTGTTTTGAATATATCATTCTTATAAACGTGGGCACTTATTTCCATTGTGAATGTGCATTTTTATGGCCAGCCTAAAAACCACTGAAATGAAATAGTTTTTAATGGAGGAGGCTATAAAATGATCTTAACTTTTGTGGTTCCAGCACTGTAACTACATTTCCTTTTCAAGAACATAAAAATGCAACACAACTGATAATGAAACAGACTTGGTCTAAATTGATTTCTTTGAATTTCTAATGGAATAAATTGCCTGCTGATATGAATGGCTGGATTTTTTTTTTAAAAAAACCTAGATGATAAATAGTTATAGAACATACTAACTTGCTAAAATACCAGACTGCTGTAAAGCATAATGGAAGAATTAGCCTGCATTCTGTTGTAGTCCTAGCTGCAGAGGGCTTATCGACTTCAATGGAAAACTGATAAGTAAACACTGAGGAAAGTAATTGGTTCAGTGGACCTGTTCTAGTCTGGAATAATAGTTGAAAATAGGCTGGGAGTTGAATAGAAGGGCTTCTTATGTTTATAGAACTCATTTTGATCCATGGGAGGTTACTACAACTGAAATGGGAGAGACAGGTAATTTTTACATATTCCACCTTCCCTAGCACCTAATTGTTGATTTATTGAGATAATTACCTCTCTCTTTTATCTCAATATTTCTTGACTCTCCAGTGTCCGCTTGGAAAGCACAAGGGAAATAAACGAAGCTTGCTACTTGTCATCTCCAAAGTGTGGTGCGGCATAACTTTATTGCAATCTAAACTATAAACTATATACAGGAGCAGAGAAAACACGTCCGATCACTTAGCCATACATTGTTGGAAGCTCATGCTTATCAGAACTTCTGGCATGCGTCTACATCACAGGAACTTTCCAAAGTTACGCTCTAGCTCTATGCATTTAACTCTTGGATTACATTGCTACATCACACAGTTTAAACTACAAACAA